AAAAAAAAAAAAAAAAAAACCCCGAGCTAGAAGGAGAGCCATGCAAAATGAATGCTTTTATTCAATATTCCACATCACAGGTACAAATCTGCTTTAAATGGCTCCGGTACACTGGGTCAAGCTCAGAAACTGTGATCTGTGCTTTTAAAAAGCTTGGGAGGATTCCCGAAAGACAGAATAAGTCATAGGAATATGCTAAAGCAGGAAGAGTAATTTAAACTGTGAATGTATAAATAAGGACTCATGATTAATGACTAAAATTAACATTGCTAAATTAGGTTTGTCTGAATATGTGTCCCAAAACACGATGCATGAAATCATTATTGCCCCAAGAGATGCTGCTAAAAATGAGGCTCCTGTGAGTCAGCTGTGTATTGGCTATCATAGCAGAGTCCTGTGGATAAACAAACCAGTAAAGATTTTTAATGTTAGGCAAATGTGTTTGTATATTTTTCAAGTTTGTTGGTAATGTGGCCATTTATCGAACTTTTTCTCTGGTGAGAGAGTTGGTCTCTTCAGAGTGTTTACAGTAGTTGCGAGCTGTACAGATCAATACTTTACAAACAGCCAGCTGTCAGAGTTGAAGTGGCTGGTGTTTTAGGATTCATTGTTTCTGCACTGTTGAAAATTGTGTAGAGCAGCTCGCCGAGCCTCTCCTGTGAATCTATTGATAGAGCTGGCATGTCAAATCTTTTCATTCCGAGCTTGAAACTGAGACAGTTGTATGGTAATGCGGAGGGTCTCTCAACCACACAGTCTCGTTCAAAGTGAAACAGATTCCCCTTCCTGCGACAACAGAAAGCACACAGCTCCGCAATGCTTAACGGTGGGATCTCTCAATTAAAAATGAGATCTTCCCAAATGAGTCTGCAACAAAGACTCCACTTAAAACTGTCCATTGTGCAACAGGCCTCACTCTGATGGAAATCAAAGGACAGCAGTGGGATGATAAAACTGAATATTTATGGCCTTTTCCTGACCAGAGATGTCCCCGAGTACTTTTGAGCCTTTTTAACAGCAGATGAAATTGCACTTGAAAGTTGTAGGCAGGTTGCTCGACAACTGAAATGAGGAGCTCAAGTGCCTTTTACTATTGTGAACAAATCACTGAACTACCTCTTTGGTCAATGACACATAGGTGCAGACTGGTGCATTTGCACACTCGTGCAAACCCAGAAGTAAAAGCTACTAATTATTTGAGCACTGCATCTTTAACCTTTAGTGTGTAGGGCACTGTTAAGGTTTAAATCTGTGTCTTTTTCTCTCACCCTGCTGCAGAATGCATGAGCTGTCTGCAGACGCTGTCGCTGAATCGTCTTTGGCTGCAGGGCTGTGAGCAGCTACCATGACGTACCCTAACACCAGCACGCTCACAGTCAACTTCACTGGAGCTTTGGACGGCCATGACTCCGGAGGAAACATCTACCGCCCCTTTTCTGTCTTCAGCGTTCTCACTCTCACTTTACTGGCGATGCTGGTGGTGGCCACCTTCGTGTGGAACTTGCTGGTGCTGGTCACCATCCTGAGGGTGAGAACGTTTCACCGAGTGCCCCACAACCTGGTGGCTTCGATGGCCATCTCAGATGTGATGGTGGCTGCTCTGGTCATGCCCCTAAGCCTTGTCCACGAGCTGAACGGCAGACTGTGGAAACTGGGGCGCGTCCTGTGCCAGGTGTGGATCTCATTCGACGTGCTCTGCTGCACAGCCAGCATCTGGAACGTGACGGCCATTGCGCTGGACCGCTACTGGTCCATCACTAGACACCTGCAGTACACACTCAAGACACGCAAAAAGATCTCCAATGTGATGATAGCGCTCACTTGGCTACTGTCCTCTATCATCTCCTTGTCACCGCTCTTCGGCTGGGGAGAGACTTACTCAGAGGGAATGAAGTGCCAGGTGAGCCAGGAGCCTTCCTACACCATTTTCTCCACCTTTGGGGCGTTTTACCTCCCTCTTTGTGTGGTTCTCTTTGTTTATTGGAAGATCTACAAGGCTGCCAAATTTCGGATTGGCTCCCGCAAGTCCAACACAATCACTCCCATGGCTGAGGTAATTACTTTAATTTTATATAATAACTCCTCACGTAGGTTACAGTATCACCGCTCTCCCTTTCCTTCATCAACCAGCTATTGCCTCTGACCTGCAAATATGGATTGCTGTGCGTTTTTTTTATTTTTTTTATTGGCTGATAAATTACTCTGATGTGATCAGGGAAACATAAGTATCCGGTGTGTGAGCATAAAGCCATCCTGCTCATCACCATCAGACTGTTAATGTGCGTAGGTAGAAGGTAGAAAACTATAAATACTACCTCCGGCATCTTTCATGAAACATGCATCTGGCTTTGGTGTTATTATAATCAGCAGATACAAAAGGTCTCCATTAAGCAAACATTTAATCAGGGAAGTTTTCTTTTCACTTGGGTTTACAACACATCAGTGATAGATTATGCTACTTTTACAGTCTTACAAAAACAATCCTTTTCCTTAAACTATGAAAGGCTACTTATAAAGTCATTTAGCATCCAGGGATTCTCAGGCTTTAGCAAGCAGCCACAGAAGTAAAAACAAAAAAAAAAAAGCAAAGTGTTGGGATTTTATTTATCTCATTTATTAATTTCATTTATTTAATGTCCATAATTTTCCCAATTCCTCAAGATACACATTTGTTATGCAAGCGTGACAAAATTCTTAACTCTTGGTCAAGGTGGGCCGATCACCCAGTAAATTATCCAAATCTGTTATTGCTTTGATGAACGTTCGTGTCAAGTTTCATTACACAGACAATCATTCATCCAGCTATAGCAATTATACAACGCGGAATATGTCTAATTTGTGATTTTTGTTTTCCACAGACATATCCACCACTGGTTACGTTTTATGTCGCTCAGTATTTCGTCAAAGTTTGCTCTAATCATTTCCAAGCATACACCGAGCCCTCCAGTGTGCCTGCACCGATGTATGATGTGAGCAAGTGGCATCAGCATCCAAGATAATAAACTTCCTACACTGATCCATTAAAAACACCCACTCACACACATACATAAACACACAATGCACCAGAAATAGAGTTCACTGAGGTAAGATTCCTGACCTAGTTGCACAGATAACTTGAGAATGCCAAAAGCCTCAAGAAAATGGCTTGAATGACTCCACAAATCCTAATGCATCAGTCTTTTGGACTGTGTTCAAGCTTTCAGTAAAAATTTACTGTCAAACTGTGTTGACAGCATTTTATATTTTAGCCCAAACATAAAATAACTGCACAAACATTAGCTGTAAGCCAGCTTCTTGTTCCTGTGCACTCACGAAACAGATTCTAAACTAATACGCTGATATTTACCTCATGCAATCGCTTAAACTTACCTAAGGATTAATCATTGGATTAAACGCTTAAAAACTTGAACTTTTTACACATCTTAGACTCATTCACCTGCTGTATATAAAGGCATACTTGCAGTTATATAAGTGCCCATTTTAGCAGCTGCATCTTTTACTATTATATTGAACCATTTCTTAAATTATAAGCCTCCATGCCAGCGGCAATATGCTTTTAACTCCTGGCCTCTGCTGTAAAAGGATTTGCTTCGTCTATCTCATCCGTTATATTGTACAGTGACCTGTATTGATTCAACTAAATTTACTCCAGAAAGTAAAAGTTCCTGTACCGGAGTGCAGGTTCTTGCTTAAATGTTGTACAGGACACAACAGTCTAGACTGTTGTCCTTTCTGCTTTTCTTCCAACACATTTCGACAGATAGTTTGTCTTTATAAATGCTGCGACCTGAACTTAACCGGATGAACAAGAAATAACGTCGGCCTTGAGATCCACCAGGCGACAGTAAGAGAGGAGAAAGTCAGAGGATAAATGTTGACATTTCTCTTCCTGGCTGTGCTTGTGTTTGCAAAATGGAGAAAATGGGCTTCTGGAAACTGCAGATTAAAACACAGCTCTGGCTTTAGATTCTCTCTCTCTCTCTGTGTGTGTGATGTGTGTGTGTGTGTGTGTGTGTGTGTGTGTGTGTGTGTGTTGTGTGTGTGTGTGTTGATGTGTGTGTGTGTGTGTGTGTGTGTGTGTGTGTGTGTGTGTGTGTGTGTGTGTGAGAGAGAGAGAGAGTGAGAGAGAGAGAGAGTGTGGCTTGTTGATCAACCAGCTGATCCACACATCATTTCCCCACCAGCCTAATATCCATCTTCTGCTGAGCAGCCTCAACATTTTCACTTCCACATTTGCTTATCTCTGACCTGCATTGTAGAAGACATTGCTTTGCTTATTTAAGAGCTAATCAGATTTCCCAGATTGATTAATAATTCAATGGGTTAAGTGATTTATTTCCTGATTGGCTGTCTCCTAGGTAAAGGAGGAGACACAGCAGCCCCAGATGGTGTTTACTGTGCGCCACGCCACCGTGACCTTCCAGACAGACGGGGACACGTGGCGCGAGCAGAAGGAGAAGAAGGCTGCGCTGATGGTAGGCATTCTGATTGGCGTGTTTGTGCTCTGCTGGATCCCCTTCTTCATCACCGAGCTCATCGTCCCGCTGTGTTCCTGCGACATCCCACCTATCTGGAAGAGCATCTTCTTGTGGCTGGGCTACTCCAACTCCTTCTTTAACCCACTTATATACACCGCATTTAATAAGAACTACAACAATGCCCTGAGGAACCTCTTTTCCAGGCAGCGATAAGCCGTTCTGCAAGCTTGGCCGACACGCTACACCAGCATCTGCTCCACAGTGTTAGCCTACTTCTCATGACGAATCTGTGTCGGCTACTCCATCACTATCAGGTGGACGGTAGCCTAACGCTGTATATAACAGTCACCATAATGGGCTGTAGACGAATGTTTTGAAGCCGGGAGTTCAGTGTTTTGGTGACTGCAAGTATGGTTTTTGGAAACCAGAAGTGGCAGAAGTGTTGGATGGGACTCCTGAACCCCAGGACGCTATGCAAGCAGTGCCCAAAACCACACCCAGCATTATTGTCTATTTTTGCTATAAATGGAACCACAATTTTCAAAATGAACACCATGCTGCTTTGGAGAGGATTTAAAAATAGCATTAGAGACCAAGAACTCAGTAGCCAAACGTTTACCGAGCCTGTATCTCAAGTGTACATTGGGTGGGGGTGGGTGGGTTCTCATGGAGTGCTGTACAGTCTGACTACTTGTCACAACCAGAGAAGTTGTTCGCTGCTGGCCAGTAGGAAAGATGCAGGTTTAAGGAATTCAAACACTATGAGAGCGCATTTAGACACAGTTCTCACAGCCACGAATGGCACCATGGGCCAAAAGTGTCATCATCAGTGCTGGCACACCCTTTGGTGTTGTTTCAGCTGTTCGAGTACCTCTGGGTTTTTCTAACCAGGTGCCGCAGCCAGGGTCAAGACACAAATCAATCTTTTAGCAGCATTTTAATGATATATAAGTACAGAAGCTTGGCGATTCACAGATTTTACAGAGGGAGGCTTCTTTGCTTCTGGTTTTGACATCTCCTCTTATACCAGCACTGCAGTGGAGGTTCTCTCTGAAGGCCGACACCTGTTGTTCAGGAGAACACTGTGGCGAGTACTTGTGCCCTCAGCACTTATATAAGGGCCCCATTATACCTGCCAAATTGGTCGCTTTGTATACTGACAGAAATCGCACACCTGCATCCGTTTACGCTTGCCATATGACGATTTTGCGGCAATGGAAAAACACTAAAGGTTACGGCGAGCATACTGGGTCCATAGATGGTAAGGAGCTGTAGCGGCATCACTCTTTTTGTGCAAAGAGACCAATCTGGCGAGCATAAATTAGCCATAAAAACCCAGAGGTCCCATCTATTTTTATGTAGTCTATAATGATAACCAGAAACTGTGTTTGTAAGAAAAAAGAAAGAAAAGTCTTTCAGTTTTTTTTGGTCTGTCTATTAGAGAAAGTAACCTCACAGCTGGACTGAGCTAATATGTCCGCAAGAAGGAAAATAAATTGGTTGTGCTGCGGCGGCAGCAGCAGGTACGGCGCTGTCTACATGTTAGCTTTCTCCCGCCTCGCTCATTTCAAGCTTGTTAACGAGAAATGCGTGTTAACGTGCTTGTCAACAATTTCATCATGTGTGAGCCTGCTGAGATTAAAAAGTAGAGCTGGAATAAAATTTCAGAAAAGTCGGGTAGAGCTGAGCGAGCTGAACTTCATAAATGATAAATTGAGAACCAGCTGGGGAATTTGTGCTGTAACACATCAAAATACTCATCGTCAGTAACATCTCAAGCAAAGGATTTTATCTAATTATAGAAAAGATGGGTTGTAGTACACAACCCTCTAGGAAAACTGTTGAAAAACCGTCTACCTTTGAGCTAGATACACGCTGTGGTATCACATAAAATTCATTCAGACATGCTTGCTGATAAATGTGCATTCTGTCCTCTAGTGCTGACGAGCTACACACTAATATTTCCTGCACTTTGTCTACACACTAGTGAGGGTTTAATGAAAGCGGAGAAAAATAGCCACACAAGACATTATTTTCATTTGTTTGAATAAATCCTTTGTTGAGAAGCTGCAGCCACAAATGATTACATCTTACTCCTATTCCAATAACAGATGGATACAAAAGATCTTTTGAGTGTTGCAAAGCCGCTCAAAGCATTATCACAATAATAGATTCCAACACGTCAGTCGGAATTGAATTGAGCTATAAAAATAGGGGCGTTAAACTTGATTATACTGTAGTATGAGGGTTACAGGAGTAAGAAAACCTGTCAAGTGACCAACATCCATGAACAGCTCAAAAAAAAAAAAAACAGACACAAAACACAGAGATGATAGAGCTGATTTTAGTGTTTTCCATTTTTAGATCTTTTTGTATCACTCCCCTGTTTTCCTGCATAAATTACTTTCTACATAATCATTCCCCACTGTGGAATCGGTTAATGAACCTTTACTTTTTGTGAAATAGACTGTGTTGTGAGGAATCAAATATGAGAAATGGATTTTCAATACAAAAAAACAAAATGCCCTACAGTATTATGCAAATTCTTCAGCTGCCCCACAGTTTTTTAAAAGAATTTGTTAGGAAATGTCAGAAATAGGTGCAGTGAATTATTGAGATGTGCAAACATAAATGAAAATACAGTATTTAATGCAAAATCTGAGTTAATTCTAATGATCTTGAAAGACAATATTTGGCTTGAACGCACAACCTGAACTCTCTTGGGAAACTTTTCATTTCTTCAGGAATAGTTTTCCAGGTTTCCTGAAAGCTCTTTTTTAGATGTTGGCTGCCTTGTCTTCTATATTTCCTCAAGATGATCCCACGCTGCTTCGATAATGCTGAGGTCCGGGCTCTGTGGAGATTGATCAATGACCAGAGGAACACGGATCAATGATCAGTGTCAGAGGAACACGGATCAATGATCCGTGTTCCTCTTTGTGTTTTTCTGTCCGAGTTATACTGCACTGCCAGTGTGTTTCAGTTCAATTCAATTGTATTTCTGTATCAAATCACCACAACAGTTGCTCCAAAGAGCTTTAATGTTTGGGATCATTGTCGTGCTGAAAGAAGCCAGACATTGTCCAGATAATATTGCATCGTGGCTCAAAATATTTTCCATTTTCATAATTCCACCAGTTTGGTCTGGATCGACAACAACACTGACTGAAATCAAGCACTAAGCCATGACAGCTCCTCCACAGTTTTACAGATGGCTGTAGATCAGGGGTGGGCAACTCCAGGCCTCGAGGGCCGGTGTCCCTGCAGATTTTAGATGTGTCCTTGAACCAACACAGCTGATTTAAATGGCTAAATTAGCTCCCCAACATGTCCTGAAGTTCTCCAGAGGCCTGGTAACGAACTAATCATGTGATTCAGGGGTGTTGACCCAAGGTGAGATCTAAAACCTGCAGGACACCGGCCCTTGAGGCCTGGAATTGCCCACCCCTGCTGCAGATGCTCGACATTGTACCTTTCTCCTGACCTCTGAAGATAACTTGAACCAAAATTTTCAAATCTGAATCATTACTAAGACCTGCTGCCACTGATTTTCAGTCCAGTTCTGGTGCACTATGGCAGACCTGAACCTTTTCCCCCTGTTTCCCTTCCTTAAGAATGGCTTCTTGTTAGCCACACTTCCGCTAAGATCATTTCAGTGAAGAGTAGATGGATTCACTGAAGGGCCAGATGCATCTCTCGGGTCAGGTCTTTGCTGGATTTGTTCCTTATTTCTTAACAGCATTACTTTAACATACTGTTCATCTGCTTTCAATAGTTTTCTTTAGGCCTGACACTTATTTAGTCCTCCACTTTGTCAGTTTCCTCAAATTTTTTTAAGGACACAAAGCACACTGTATATACACCAATATCTGCCGAGGTTTCAGCTGAGAATCACATCATTGGTGCAAAAATACTATTTTCTACCTGTCAGACTGTTATTTTGGGCATAATTCATGAATTCAGCAAAAGAAATGGAAACATGATTGACAGTTTTTGCAACAGGCTGCTAGTAACAAAGTGCCTAAAGACACCTGTTAAATTAGGTTCTTTGCTAATTCGTCTGCTATCTGTAGATACAACACTGGTTCTTCCCTTGAGCTAGGTGCCTTTTTTATGCTTGAATTATTCATAGGTCAGTGTTCAGTGGCTTGATGAAAAGCAAACAAACAAAACACATTCTTCTGAAACTTGCACTGGACTGAACTGAACATGAGTGAAAAAACAGCCAATGGCCAAAGAAAAAACTTTGAAAGATCTTCAGATAGCCTGGAGAACTATCTCAGTTATTCGCAAGACCACTTTAAAAAACTGCAGCAACGTCTATCTCCTTAGAAGCAAAATATAAAGAAATAAGGGTGGCTGAAGACTTTTGCACAGTACTGGAGAACATCTTTAAGGTTTCTTGCACCATTGCCATAAAATGTTCTCTTTTTTTACCCTGTTTAATCTGATGTGGTAAGATGATAAAGTGCAAAAAAAACAAACAAAAAAAAGCAGCAGACAATATTTTGTGATGAATAAAGAAAATGCATGAAGAAAAATGCTGATTGTTATTACATTCGTTGTGATATTCTTTGGTAAATATCATCCTTTGGGATTCTTTCATCGATTAACTTCATGCTAATCAATAAAAGTGCTCTCTAGATTCTTCACCCCTCCTTTTTCTTTTCTTTGTGTGTGTTATGACCCAGCTCAGGAAATGCAAAGTGGCCCTGTTTACCATCTGTTCCGTGTGTCCTATTCAGAAAAAGAATAAAAAAATAAAAATTTAAAAAAAACCTTCATGTTCAACCGTGTCAGCCTTTTTTTCATATGCGCATGCTCTGCTGCACACAAGTCTTGGATGATAAAATTAACAATAAACAAACAAACAAACACTCCGTTTGAGATAAAGCAAGTCAAGTTCACAACTTCTGTTTAATTTATGAAAGTAACAGCTGTAGAGGCTGAGCCACGAGGCACACTGCTAGGTATTTGTTAACTGTTGGCATGCACTTGCCTGGAATAATGCATAAAGCGAGCTGGGGAAAAGAAAATATCATTAAGAAAGAATTTTGCAGCATTTTCGTTTTGGTAAGAATTCAATCATTGCCAAGCCATTGGGGTCATTTTATAAAACAGGCACTGGCATGTCTTTAACTCTCTATGGAGCCACTGCCAGCATGCATATTTGAGCGCCAGCAGAGAGCCTGCTGCTGTTCAAAGGAGCATATTCATCCGTGTCCAAGGAATACAGCATACATGAAAATGTGGCCTGCCTAAACTGACTTAGGATTAGAACCTCTGGCAAGGCAAACCTGTGCTTTAGCTACTGAATTTTGCAGTAATAGTTGCAGCAAGCCCCTTCGTGACACGTGGACAGTGATTAAATGTATTCTCCCACCACAGCAAAGCAAAATATATATATATAAAATTATATGGAAAAATGGTTGGAGCTTGCAACCAACACCTATTTATTATATTACAGCTATTTTATGCATATGTGCAAGCTTTTAGAGCTTTTTTTTTTTTTTTTCAAACTTGCTATTTCCACTCTAATATATGTGTCTACCAGTAAAGAAGCTTGTCCCTAGTTTGCCACCACAGCCTCCGGTAACAATAGACCAGACCTGAGGTAATGGGTGAACTGCATGTGGTGTGGCTCGCAGGGTAGAGTGACCGGATAGGACGAGATGTCCTATACTGCCATGACTCTCTTAATCTCAACAACAAATTGGACTCAGTCTCTTCTTTTCTGAGGCAAAGTTGACTCTGTGACTGTGTTTTTGTTCCACTTGTTATCTCGTGGCAGGTCAGTTTCATCCAAATGGAAACTGCACAGCAGTACTGCGGAGAAGAAAATCCTGGTGAGGGAGGGAGAGAGCACATGTACGTATGTGTGACCGGGATGACATCACATTCGCTTTCTCGCCCTCCGCTTCACCCTTTTGCTTGCTTTTAATTCAGGTTCTGGGGGCAAAAACAGAAGTGACTGTGGGAGAATGAAGAAATTGGAAATTCTGAAATACTCCAGAGGAGGTACAAGCTGATAAATCTTTTTTTCGCCTCAAGCCACAAAAGGGATGGACACTGCTTACTGCATTTTTTTTACATTTTTTTTAAGCTTTGTTTTCTTTTTTTATATTTCATTACATGAACTCTGGTGATGCACGGTGTTGGACCAAAAAGAAAAAAAAATTGTTAAGGAATTTTTAATCAGCTTTTGATGCAATATGAAAAACTCAGCGGTATAAATTAATAATTATGGGTTTGTAGATTTTGTTTATTTGACAGCACAAATTTCTATGAAAATTTGACCCCAAAGGCAGGAAAAAAGCATCATCTCGTGGTTATATTACATTGCCAAGCAGTCAAGTTGCATTTTATATCAATATCTGCCAGGCTTACACAGTAAGCTGAGTATGTTGCAAATACTCAAAAGACATTAAATCAAACAAATTAAGTGGGTTTATGTCTGACCAGTAAAAATGATTATGATAGAACACAAATCTGTGTACAGTTTCCAGATGAGCACCCAAGTCAGTAAATATGAAATATTGTCACAATCTTCCCTTCTGTCCTTGAGTTGTGCCAGTGAATAATAGAAAAAGTATTTTTTGCAGAAGGTATTGTGCTCACCAGGGATGGAGAAATGGTGGGATGTGGGACAGACAGGAAAAATAAAGTATCTCGGCATGTCTGCCACCACTGGGGAGGCAAAAATAAATAATACAAACACAGAAATGTACAAAAGTGAAAACAGGACTGCTAATACAATTTTTGCCTGGTATTCACTGCCCGGTTCTACTCCAGTCAAACCTGTAGATGGCTACACTGCCTGTGCCTTCAACTGCTGAATTAGTCAAGTTTGGGGAGCTTTTCGTGCCCTTGCCAAACTTAGTGTTCAAGTCTCGTGGTGCTCTTTAGGTATGAATCATGGGCCCTGACCAAATTTGAGAGCAACAAATTGGATAGAGCCTGCACTCGCATGCTTCGTGCCACCCTAAACCACCTACATGCACCTCTGTCATGGCCTGAAGATCTCAAGCATCATCCTCAAGCATCATCTTGCTCTTGTTGGCCATGTGATGCATAAAGATAAGATGGCTGTGATACCATTAGGATGTGATGGTATCACTGCGATGATTTACATGCAATCTGTAGAATGAGAATACAGTATATGCGGGTAACAAAACATGCAACTCATTCATTCAAGCAACTACGTTACCAAGGATACCAAAGTTACATAATTTATGCACAAAATTTCAGGATAAACTGTCTAATGAATATTTAAACATTTCTGGCTGTACTGCCGTGGCTGCCCAACCAGCCAACATGCTGGCATCACTTTAACAATAAAGTGCGCCCTATGTTTTAAACAGTTTTAATGAAGCTGGTATTTTATTGTCAAGTATATGGGGTGTGAATGTAAAATGCTTTGGTAAAGACTTAAAGGGAAAAGATTAGAAACCTGAAAGAAAACGCTGCCAAGAAATCTTGTGCACTGACTCATATGTCTTTTGTCTAAACACAAGTAATGTCCTCAACGTCATCTCCGACTAAGAACTGATGGATTTTTGGGGCTTCTTTTTGTCTCTGACCTCTTTCACTCATACACAATAATAACAATCTCTGCAAGGCCATGAATAGTTAATACACTATAAAGCAGATACTGCCGAGCTACAGTGCCACTGATGAGTTTTGACAAGACTGTGACATTTAAATATTTTTACTTCCTTCTCTTCATTGTTCTGTTAAGTCTTTTTAAGTGGTACTGCATCCTCTTCTCATAATGTCCTCCATTATGAGCCAACTTCAGTTCTTTCAAAACATCCTTTTCATGTAACATCACGGCAATAAGATATATTTTTTTTTAATTGTGCTGAGGTGGAATAAAAAGAACAAAAAAAATATAGCTGTATACATTGTGTTGTTTGGTTGTCTGCATTTTAATTTAACACCCGACTGGGCTTGGTTCAACCGATGCATACATGGAGATAGAGCAGAGAGACCTTTGAGAGGACTTGAATGTAAAAGAGACATTTTACAGGCTGATGAGTCTAAATGCTGGCTCCCGATGAGATTAGGCAGGTGGTGTTGTTATTTCGAGATTGCTTGAACTCACTACCAGACTAATTCAGGGGGGTGATTGCTCAGAGTGGGTAAATGGCAAGATGTGGGGAGTCTCAGTGTGTGTTCATCAGGGAGGCAGACACAGACATATATATTTATGCATACAAACACAGATGAGGAGTGGTTGCGTCGCTGATATTCAATCATT